CAGGTTAGTGAAAGGATTATAAGCAACATGGTCTTTGAAAATGTAAATAAATGGTGTAAAAGGTTTTATAGCCCACAAAAATTGGGCTACACAGGCTGAGATGATTTGAATAGGTGCAGACATTGGCTCCTCATATGTGTAGGGGGCTGCAGTGGCAGCAGCTGTCACCTGGGCTGTTTATCCACAGCCTAGAGAAGGAAGAGGGAACAGGGTTACTTGTTCCAGTGTGGGTTCAAAGGACATTTTGCCCTAAATTCCTCTGCTGAACCTATGAGGGCAGTACAGCCATTTGTCTGTTCCTCTAACAAAACATTCGGATGTCTTACAAGGTGAAGACGAGGGCATCACTGGGAAAATGAGTGTAGCTCCAAAACTGACGTGGAAGGCCAATGCATTCCAGGAAACTTCCAGTGGGGCCTGCCCTGGCCCTGCCAAACATGGGGGTGCTTTCCCTAACTCCTCCCCAGCCCTACTGCACTCCAATGCCAAGAATGTTTCTGACCTCTGGAAAGCGACAAAAGATAGTGGAGGTTTAGACTTCAGTCCTCCAGATTCATACTAACTCCTGAAATGGGACTCCAAGTTATTCCTCCTGGAGTCTGTGGACCTTTATCTCATTGTACAGTGGGACTCCTGGTACACCACAGCAATCTCACTTTAAAAGTTCTCCAGGAATTGCCTGATGTCATCAATGCTGATTATACAGGGAAATCCAGGTCATGGTTCAATCTATTTAAAACACTTCAAGTCACATCGGCAGACTCCTGTATTGCTCAAGTGGTCATTCTTCCTTTGACAAAAATTGAAAAAATCTATAAATAAAGAAAAGGAACCCAAGGGTTTGGGGTCCTCTGATATGTATTGGTTTCAACAGATTTAACAAGATCATCCAGAGATGGAAAACATTCAAAGGGATTTTAGACACAAGCTCAGGTGTTTCAGTCATTGCCCGACACCACTGGCCTATGGCATGGCCTCTGGATGTGGCAACCACAGATCCACATGGGGTGGGCAGTGTTTCTTACCCTCGAAGAAGTGCTAAGTTGCTAACCTGGAAGGATACAGAAGGCCATTCTGGATATTTCTTATCTTACGTCCTTCTCCATACACCCACCAATCTGTGGGGTCCTGACATATTACAGGACATGGGGGCATTTTTGGTTAGTTTGAAATCCTTAATGAGTCATCAGATGTTACAACAAGGCTTTCTGTTCTCTCAAGGGCTTGGTAAATATAATTAGGAAAGGAGAAAACCCCTTCCAATAGACCCTGAAACAGACCATTTTAGCATAGAACACTTGTCCTCACATCTTCAGGAAGGGCCTTGATCTGTTCCTCCTTCCCTTGTACGGCAACCACAATAACTTGGATGTCTGGTGATCCTATCTGAGTTGATTGATGACCTCTTACTTAGGAGAAGCTTACAGAAGCTGATACACTGGTTAATGAGCAGATGACAGCAGGACATCTACAATCCTCCGATAGCCCTTGGAATACTCCAGTTTTTGTAATAAAAAAGAAGTGAGGAAAATGGAAACTACTACAGGATTTGTGGGCAGTGAATTGTACCGTGGAACCCACAGGTGCACTTCAACTAGGGTTGCCTAGTCCCAAAGCTAAGCTTTTACATGTTTCCCTCATGGTGCTTGATTTAAAAGACTGCTTTTTTACAATCCCTCTCCATCCTCAAGATAAAAAGCATTTTGCCTTTAATTTACCCTCTTTTAATCGTCAGGCCCCTATGCACTCCTACCAATGGTATTGTCTGCCACAAGGAATGGCAAATAGTCCAACCCTATGCCAAGAGTTTGTGGCTGTAGCTATTTTGTCAGTCTGTCAGGTTCATCTATCTGCTTATCTTATTCATTACATGGATGATATTTTGCTAGCACATGAATCCTCATCCACCTTGCACCAAGTATTTACTCAATTAGATAATACCTTGCATAGTGAAGGCCTAGTGATGGCCTCTGAAAAGGCACAACTATAGCACCTTTTTCATATCTATGCCACCTTATCCAACAGAGACATATTGTGCCCCAAACTGTTCTGATCCAGGTTAATCACGTGGCAACCTTGATTTTCAGACTTTGATAATATTAATTGGTTCTGCCCAGCTCTTAAACTAACAACTCATGATTTAGCCCCTTCTTTTGCTTTCTCAAGGAATGCCTGTACCCCACTTCTCTAAGCACTTACATCAGAGGCTAAAACTGCCTTGGACAAAGATAATCTGTCTCTGTAATGCTCAACTCTCTAGAGTTGGCCCATCTTCACCAATGTTTTTAATTTTTTTCCCAATTCAACATATGCCCACTGGGGTCCTTTGGCAGTCTCAAAACCCTCTACCATGGTTACCTATGCCACATACGCCACATAAAACTCCATTACACCCTTCTATGATGCTGTGGCAGGACTGATCACATGTGGGCAGATGTGTGCTATTCACATTTTGGGATGTGAGATGCAAAATATCATTGTTCCCTTTTCTTCTGTTCAACAACAGTGGTTATGGCAATTCTTGTCCTCTTGGCCAATCATATTAATTAAATTTCCTGGTGTTGTAGATTTTCATTATCCTCCAGACAAATTAACTCAATTTGCCTCCCTCATACTCTTTGTCTTTCCTTCAAAAATAACTCAGTTCCCATTGCCAGAGGCTATTTTCACAGATGCCTCCTCTTTGGGCAGGGGAGGTTATGTTAGGGCTTTCTTTTCCCAAGTACAGGATGTGGGTTTTTCTTATGTGCAAAAGACAGAATTGCAGGCTGTCATTAAAAGATCATTATAAGGGCATTACGAGATCATTCATCCACTCTAATTAACCTTTTTTCAGCAGTGTAATGGACCACTTTGAAACTGCCACCATTCACACCAACCAGAAAGATCACTTTCATTTGTTTCACACTCTCCAATTTGCCATTAAGTCACATCATGTCCCCTGTTTTACTGTCATTTATGTTCTCATTTGCAATTGCCAGGGTCTCTTACTGAGGGAAACACTGCAATAGACAGATTACACTAGCTACTGTCTCTGTTACTCCCTCAGATGCCTTTTAACAGGCTTCTGTCTCCCAACCCACCTTGCATCAAAATGCTTCTGCCTTATGCAAACAATTCCATTAATTCAGGAACAGGCTTGATAAATTGTTAAACAATGTTCTTCATGTGTAATACATCTTCCCTCTTTTCCTATGGTGGTTAACCACCAAGGATTATGCCCCAATCATCTCTGGCAAATGGATGCTGAGTTGGCTCTCTAGGTTGGGTCCACTTTTCAGTGAACACTTCCTTAGGATTTATTTTTGCTTCTGCCTGCACAAGTGAAGTGGATAAGCATGTCAGTGCTCGTTGCTTGGATGCCTTTGATACCCTTGGCTTCCCACAGGGTAAGACTGACAATGGCCCAGCCTATACAAGTGCTGCTTTCCAAATGTTTTGCAAAACTTTTCATATTTTCCTTACCATGGGAATTCCTTACATCCCTCAAAGTCAAGAAATTGTTGAATGTGCTCACCTTACACTGAAAATTCAATTACAAAAACAAGAGGGGGAATTCTTCTCTACAAAATTTACACCTCATAATAATATATTATTACTTCATAATATACTATTAACTTTTTAATCCTACTAAGGATGGAACTACAGCAGCAGAAAGACAATTCAGTCAGATAAAGGAAAAATGTTAAGAAAGGTCTTTTAAAAAGATCTTCATACTATACAATGGCAGGAACCTAGCCCATTACTCACTTGGGGTTAAGGATATACTATATCTTTTCCAGAGAATGCTTAATGGCATGTCTGGCTGCCACAGCATGCTGTCCATCTATATCTTGGACCCAGACCCAGAGAAGACATTGATTCCACCTTTCAGGAGGCTGATGCTCAGTCCAATAACAGGGATGCTTCAGAGACTGTGCCTCAACTGACAAGAAGAATGGAGCTAGACCTGACCTGGAGCCAATTAATACAATTGACCCAGGATGCCCAGAAGATGTTAACTAAAAATAACAATCAAAAATCTGAGTAGGTGACAGACTATATGGAAATAACTGAGCTGAAAGTTATGTGAAAGAAAGGGACACAAAAGTTATTAGTATTCTTATTTTAAAGAGGATAAAACCAAGGAAAATAAGACAATAAAACCCATCAAAATACATCAGCGTAAGTGATACAGGACTTCAAAACTTTATGAAATCAACAATAGTTACCATAATGCCTTTTGGTGTCTTCAAAATAGCTGCAGATACCTTCAGACATAGTAAAAATCAAACAGAACAGAATAGAAACAATAAAAACAAAACATGAATGCAATGAAGGACTTCAAAACAAGCCAATAGAGGCCAGGGATTTAGCTCAGCAGCATAAGTGTCTGCCTGGCAAGTGCAAGGTTGTGAGTTCCATTCCCTATACAAAAAAAAAAAAAAAAACAAGCCAACAGTAAATCCAAAATGACTACCATAATATGTCTTGCTATCTTTTAAATAACTGATCATGCCACCAGATTTAACATAAACAAAACAGAAGAGAATAAAACCGAGCCCAACAAAACAATGAAAATGATATGGTTTCCAGGTGGAGATCGCCTCCTGGTGAGGCCTGGTTTTCTCCTTCCACAGTCCATGTGAATGGTGTTGACTCACAGACAGAGGCTTGGATCTAGCTGTCCCCACTCTGGCAGAGGCCTGTGCATGGCACTGGTCTCCAGGCAGGGATCACCTCCTGGTGAGGCCTGAACTACATGGTGAGACCCAGTCTCAAAAAACAAACAAAACAGCCTTGGAGGTCAAATCAGCTATTTCCAGAAATCTAAGGGATGACAAAATTAAAATGGCTTCCATACAGCCCAGTTACCTTCCCTCCTGATGTTTCCTTGTCAACCATCCTCCCTGCCTCCCTTCTCTTTCTCTTTTCTCTTTTCTTTTTTTAAATTTTATTTTAAAGGGGGTAAAATTTATTTTGAAGAGGAATAAAATAATTTTACTTTAAAGAGGGTAAAAATACAGATTTTAAAACAAGACAACCAGAGATCTTCACTATCTAACATATTGTCTTTTGTTTTCTTCCAAACAGATGTCCATATCTTCATGTACAGTGAATTCATACAAAACAACATAGTATAAAACTAATCCAAACAAGATGATGAAGGCATTTTAGGTCTTCAAGACCAGACAATAGGGAAGTCAACAATGGCTGTCATAGTGTCTCTCATTCTCTTCAAAATAGCTGTCTATACCTTCACATATGTTGAAATTAAACGAAGCAAAACAGACTGAAATCACTCTGAACAAAGAATAATAATATTGCTGGATTACACATCATGACGCTACAATGGCATCAGAACTGGGTACCATAGTGTCTCTTTTTCTTCAAGGTAGTTGTACATTTCATCATCATTATATAATCAATTATCATAAACTGTTTAGAAGTTCTATGCATGCATGAGTCTCTACATGTATATCTATCCTTTCTATATTAGAAGTAAAAACAAAACAAAAGCAAGACAAACCAAAACAAATTCCTATAAAAACATGAAATGAAAAAGTCATATAAAACCACAATACAAGGTCTACAATAATTACTATGATGTCTCTTGTTGTCTTCAATAGAATTGTCTATATCATCAGGCATAGTATAATTGAACATAGCAGTACATAACAATAAAAACAAAATATTGGAGACATTTTAAGGCTTCAAAAGCAGGTAATAGTCAAAACAGAGTGGGTATCCTAGTGACTCTTGTCATCTTCAGTATAACTGCCTATACTCTCAGATTTGATACTATTAATCACAACAGATTCAAATAAAATCAGTTAATACAAAACAGCAATCTAACAAGCCAGATTCAAATAAGATCAGTCATAATAAGACAGTGTAAGTTATACAGGGCTTCAGATTAAATTAATAGGAAATTAAGGATGGTTGCCATAATATATCCTGATATTTTCAGGATTAACTGTCTGTGCCCTCAAATCTAGTACAAGTAGACAAACTGGAACAGAATATAATCCATCTAAACAGAGCGGTGATAATGTGGATTTTAAATCCTGATACACTATTATCAGAGGCATATCCTCTGCCTTCCTTTTTTAGACAGTTCCTCCTCTTTCACTTTCACAGGGTATATTGTACATTTTAGGCCCCACTAATTTCTTTAGTTTTTAGATTCGGGGGGCAACCCACCATCTACCTAAGTGGTTCTGAACTTTTTTACCCCTGAGCTTGATCTTCAGTTGTATTCCTTTACCTACAAAAGCCTCAAGATTTTCCTTAGCTATAGCTAAGTAGCTCTCTATTGCACATAAGTATCCTGTCTTTCCAACCTATCTGCAGGTACTGGTCAAGTTGCCCCTATTTCTCTCTGATTCCCTGTCACATGGAGCATTGTTTTCTCATATTTGACTTTCAACCCATGAACCCTCTTTCAAGTTAATTATATTTCCTATACAGAGCATCTCAATGGACCCTACCTCCTGATCTACTCTGCCTGTGTTTCTTTTGTCGTGTATCGAGGACATCTATGTTAGAGATTATAGCCAACCTTCTCTGCCTCATTTCTGCTATGCTATTTTTCTGCCATTGGTTGTCTACTTTTCTCCTTCATTCCACTATCTGCCCTGTTCATTGAGGCCTCTCTGCCACTGTTCCTGAAATCCTGGTTTTTTTCTTTCACTCCAAAATGTCCTTCAGTATTTTTTGAGGGTTGAATTGGTGGTCATGAACTCCCTCAGTTCCTCTTTGTCATGGAAACATCTTATTTCTCCATTAATTTTGAGAGACAGTTTTTCAGGGTACACCAATCTGGGTTGGAGGTTATTTTCTTTCAGGGCTTGGTTCCACTCCAACCTCTTCTTTTTTTTTCCATTACATTCTTTTTTTTATTTAAGGAGGAAAAAAAAGCAGAGAAAGGGTACAAGTTATACAGATTTACAGAAAAAAATAAACAGTAGGAAATCACTAGTTAATGGATTACATATTGTCATCTTAGAAATAATTGTTCAAGTCACAAAATTAAAGCTTGTGAAGTGGACATTCCAACAGTGAGATTGCAAACAGTTCTGTTCAATGATCCAATAAAACTCAGTGATATCATTTTCTATCTTATACACTTAAACACACATGCAATTATATCATTTAGAGCACTTTCTTTTCCTCTCTTTTGTACAATGACAATTACACATTTTGGATTTTGTTACTCCCACAGTTCTTATTACTTTTTTGGAAGGGAGTAGAACCAAATGTGACATAATAGAACAGAGTCAATCAAATCAAAAGGGTGGACATAATAGATAATGTAAAAGCATAATACAAGGTGATCAATAATGGTTACCATAATGCCTCCCGCTATCTCTAATAGAATTGCCTATATCATCAGTTATAATAAAATTGAACAAAACAGTAAAGAACAAAACCAACAAAACCAAAACATTAGAGACATTGTAGGTCTTCAAAAGTAGATAAAAGTCATCGAGAATGGGCGTCATAATGAATCTCACTATCTTCACAGCTGTTGTCTAAACTTTCGAACCTGGTACTATCAAGCAAAGCAGAATAGGGGGACATCAGTCAAAAACAAGATGGTGAGAGTAATACAGGGCTTTAAATCAAGATAATGGAAAGTTAAAGTGGGTTGCTATAATATATCCTGCTATTTTTATTTATTTTTCCCTTAATTAAAAGGATAAAAATAAAAAAGTAAATAATGGAGTGGAGATTGAGATAAAAGAGGGCATAACAGCAAAATAGCGCAGATCAAAACATAACCATTTAAGCAGAATAGTGTTTCACCACAAGGTAATCCTGACATAAAAGTAGTTACCATATTGTCTCTTTCCTTGAAATCCTTGAGTACAACTTCGTATATTGTAGCATTAAATATATCAAAACAATGTAAAACCATTTAAGAGAATGACAGCATTACAGGGTATTTAGAATCGACTAACAAAATGAACAATGGTTTCTGTATAATCTCCTTGTCTTTAAAAGTTTTTGCTTATACTATCGTACATAATAAAATCCAATAAGATACAACCTGTTTAGACCAATGGAGACAGAAGAACAAAAGTTTTATGAGACTTCAAAACAAGATGATACTAAATCAGTATTACCTATTAAGACATCATTTTCTCCAAAATAGCTGTTCCTATCATCCAATCTTCTCTGCCTCATTTCTGTTGAGCTCTTTTTCTGTCATTAGTTGTCAGTTTGTCTTCTTCATTTTGTTCTCTGCTCCATTCATTGTGGCCTCCCCGCCACTATTTCTGGATTCTTTGTATTTTTCTTTTTTAGAATATCCTGAAATACTCTCTGTAGAGTTGAATTGGTGGTTGCAAATTCCCCCAGTTCCTCTTTATCCTGGAAGCACCTTGTTTTTCCATCAATTTCCAGGGACAGTTGTGCAGGATATCTCAATCTTGGCTGGAGATTATTATCTTTCAAAGCTTGAATTATTTCCCCCCACGCTCTTCGTGATTTGATGGTTTGTGCAGAGAAATCTGCTGTAATTCTTATGGGTGCTCCCTTGTAAGTGGTCTGTTTCTTGTCTCTGACAGCTTTTAATATTCTGTTCTTGTATTGAATTTCTGGAATTTTTATTATTATATGCCTGGGTGTTGCTCTGTTTGGGTTGTAGGTGGCTGGGGTCCTGTATGCCTCATACATCTGAGTATCTTTCCAATCTCTTCTTGATTTGATGGTTTGTGTCAGAAGTCTGTCATGATTTTGATGGATTTTCCTTTATAGGTGATCTGTTTCTTTTCTCTGATGGCTTTTAGTATTCTGTTCTCACGTTGAATTTCTGGGATCTTGATTATTATATGTCTGGGTGTAGTTCTGTTATGTTGTAGGTGGCTGGAGTTCTATATGCCTCATACATATGAATATCATTTCCTTTTCCTATGCTTGGGAAGTTTTCCTTAATTATTTCTGTGAATAGCCTTTGTATTTCCTTTGTGTTTGCCCCTGATTCTTCACTCACATTTTTTGTTCTTAAGTTATAGATCCTCTTGTCATCTTCTACTGTTACTGCCTGTTTCCTTGTTATTTTTAAGAGATCTTTCCCTTCACAATCACATATTGCAAACTCATCTTCAAGTTTTGTTAATCTATCTCTAGTTTCTTTCAGGCAATATTGCCAGCTCTCAATGGAGTTTTTAATTTCCTCATAATCTCTTTGAACCTGTTTCATGTGTTCTAGGGTTTTTTAATATTCTTCATCAAACATTTCTCTCCTTTTTGTGTACCTCCATTCTTCCTTCTGTGTCTTCTTGAGAGGTGCATAACATTTCTTTTACTAATCTTATATCTTGCTTTACTTGTATTAATATTTCAGTTTTGAGTTCATCTATAATGTCAGAGATATTTTTTTATGTCAACTGATGCCATTTCTGATACTATATGTTTGCTGCCCTCAATCTCTTCTGTAGTTACCTCTCCTGAACTGATATTCCCTAAGTTGGGGACTGAAGACTTTTTAAAATTTCTTTCTCTTGTCATGTTTTTGGTTTCTTCCATACAGGTGTATGGTGGAGGTTCCAGCACCTTTCCTTATTGGTTATGGTTCTTCTGAAGCACACGGGCTAGGGATTTCTGCACTCTCCAGTCTGTTGTTGGTCACTGAGGTGCAAGTAGGATTGGTATGGGCTGGCCCCTCCCCTCTGAGCCAGTCAACCATCAGGGGCCTTCACCACATTAGTGTGTGCCGCACAGCCGGAACCAGTTCGGGACAACTTCAGGGACAATTTCATCCCTGGCTATTGGGTCCTGGGTTGGGACATGACCCAGCCCAAGCAGATCCCACCAATCTGCTATGGGCAAGGAGCAACCAACTGAAGTCATTGCTGTTCCTGTATTGGTCCATCCTGCCCAGTACCAATATGTCATGCAGTCAGTCACCCCTTTGCCGTAGGAAGGTCAAATTCTGAGCACACACCTTGGGTTAGTGCAGGTCTCTATGCCAGCCCTGCTCTCTGTTGGGCTTGCCAACCCCCGACTTCAGCACGACTATGGACCTGGCGGTAAGAACACCACAACCTCGGATCCAACCAGCTCCAGCGAGAGCACCCTGACCGCGGGTCTGACCAGCTCTGAGGGGAGCACCACAACTGCGGGTTTGACCAGCTCCTCTCCCTTTAGTTTCTTCCTGGGTTGAGAGGATCCATCTTCCTCCATCTGGTCTTCTCCAGGATTTTTATTCTGGCATCTGATTTGTTTCTCTCAGAGGGGTTCCCTGTTTTACTGCTTACTAATCTGCCATCTTTAGTTCCTCCTCTTCTTTCTTTCTCTCTCTTTCCTTCTTCCTTTCCCTCTCCCTCTTCCTCTCCTTCTTCCCTTCTTTTTGTATGGTCCTGGAGGTTGAACCTGGGAATGACTGAACACATCGTGAACCATTTTTAATTCTTTTTTTTATTTTGAAACAAATTCTCACTATCCAGGTTATCCCTGGATATCCTTATCCAGGTTAGCTTCACACTTAGAATCCTCCCACCTCAGCCTCCTGAGTAGCTGGGATTACAAACGTGAGCCACAGTACCAGCCTGACATCTCATTTTTGGGAGGGCAGAGTGAAAGAAGACCAAAGCGAATGTGTTACTGAGCCTTTTGCCCATTGACAAAATAGCCGAGAAAGTCAATCCGAGGGAGGAAGAGTTGTTTCAATGCACAGTCAGCTAGCTGGCTCTGCTGTTTTTTGGCCTGGCAAAAGGCATCTGGACAGGAAGTGGGGGGTAAAAGAGGAAAGCTGCTCCACCAAGGCAGCCAGAGGCAAGAGCTGGAGGGCCAGGGGCAGGGGCAGGGCTGCCATGGTCACGGCCTGTGATCCTCTCCCAGAACACCTTGGATTAAGATCTCATCAATGGATGAAGCCCCAGGACCCTTTCAAAGCACCTAGAAGTGTGTTCTACTCAGCTCCCTGGCGTTTCTCAATCCCATCAAGTTCACGTCAAGTTGGACCTTGGAAATCACTCAATTTGCTCCCTGCCTTCAACAGCAATGGCAGAATCCCAGAGCACCAAACCAGACAATCCCAATGAGCCACACTGTGCCCTGCCTCAGTGCTGCTGGAGCTAGGGTGCGGGGAGGCCGTGTCACCCCTGCAGCAGCTGCACAGGATGTCCAGGTGACTTGGAGACCCAGAACTGTGCCCCCATGGCTGGGACCTTTGGCTGCTTTCTAGTAGCTTTGTTGGAGGAGATTTGGCCAAGGGCTGCATTTATTCTGGCAAATGTTTTCTTGAAGGGAACTCAAAACATGTGTTTCAGTAAACAAATTCCACCTTGGATACTTGACAGTAGGCGCAGCCTCCAAAGGAAACATTTGGATGGATGAGTCTGTTGTATTTGGAAAGAAACAAAAGCTTTGACCTCTAAGGGTTATACAGCAGCCCCTCCATTGCCAGGACCAAGCAGATTTGCAGGACTTTCCAGCCTGCAGGAGCACAGAGAAAGCAGGACAGGAGGACAGCTCGCCTCAGGGCTGCTTTGGCCCATGGAACCCCAGTCTCTCTGGCTGGGAAGGCAGTGGCTCCAGACTCCTGCAGCTCCCCGGGGAACAAGAGATGGAGGCAGGTGTCTGCCCAGCTTGTTCTACCACCTTGAAGAGCTGTCCCAGGTCCTCAGCCCTTGTACCAAGTGACCCAGTCCTCCTAGGCCAGAGGTCAGAAGCCAGACCAGCAGAGAAAGCCTCTGTCCCAGGAACCAGGAAATGGGACAGAGACCCTGGCGAGGCAAGGTGGATACAGGATGTCCTAATGTTTCAGGGTGAGCACTGGAGTCCTCATCAGACCCCCGCTGGACTCAGGCTTCACAAATCTGGAGGGGATAAAGCAGGATGAAACAAGACCAGGATGGGACAGGAAGGGACGGGAGAGACAAG